AGAGGTTTTGTATTTCTTTTTGGAACTGATTGATCATAGTTTTTGAGCTGACATTTGCCAAAATGATCCACAAATAATGCAGTTTTAGCTCAAAAATTGAGGTACATAAGCTCAGATGAATGAGGCCTATGATCACTCAGTTCCAAAAAAGAAAGTTCCGAAAACAAGTTGACAAAAATAACGAATTCAAGATTTGGTGATAAGCAAGCAATTTTTAACAAGCCTGTCATTTTTTACCATATTTGACCGCCCGGGAACAAATAAATAAATGTACATGGGAATTACACTTATTATTTAAAGGGGTCATATGATGCGATTTCAAGTTTTCTTTTCTCTTTGGAGTGTTACAAGCTGATTGTGCATAGATAAGATCCCGGAAGTTGCAAAGACTAAAGTCTCAAAACCAAAGAGATATTCTTTATTAAAGTTAAGACTCTGCCACGCCTCCCTAAAACGGCTCGTTCTAACACGCCCCCACATATCTACCTCACTATGTGGAAATATTTGCATAATGCCGCCCAAATGTGCACGATACTGATAATTATTTCAAATTCTTTTCTGCTATATTAAGCCGTTTCACTTTTCAATCTCATTACATACTGTACTTCATACAAAATACACAGTAAAGCACAGCTGCAGTTAAATTTTCTGACATCAGTAACACATCAGTCTAATTGCTTGAGTGTGTGATACTTTGTGGCAGAATGACTGATAGGCACACTTTGCTTAAGAGGAATATTAAGGTGTTCTAGTTGAATTATATTAGAACATATTGTGATGAGCTCATTCTGGCACAACCCTTTTGAATAATACAGAGCAAAACAGTGAATTATTCATAGTCATGCTTTGTTTTGAGTCAAAAATGCACAAATGCTTGTCTATTTCCTAGTAGTGATGTTGTATTTTGGTCTCAAAACTGTCCACAGTGGCATATATCACGGTCAACAATATTCTTAGGACAAGTGTTGTTTAATAAATATCAAGTACATTTATGTTGCAATAAAAGTACAATTTATTTTTGAGTCATTGGAACACTACTTTCCTTCTGCAGTTCTGACATTCAATCCACTTGTCCAAATGTTACGATCCATTAGGCATCATTTGTAGCTGTAAAGCATTTAGCATTTAAACGATTAAGTCAAAGCTCTACGTGATCTGATTCTGTATTCTAGGTGTGAAGTGCTCTGGATAGTGTGATGTGAGAGTAGGTCATATCTGCAGGCTCTAAACTCAGGACATGACATCACTCTAATGGTCGCGTGCTGCATGACTCATAGCTTTTAACTCTAGCTGTCAGTATCTCTCTGGCCTGGGCTTACGGTCAAAACCAAAAAGATGATGACATTACATACAGTCATAAAAAAATAAAGACATTGGGTATGTTGAAAATGGAACATGGTGTAGCTATACTGTATAGCACCTACTATTTCTTAAAAATAGTATGTGAAGCAGCATGCAATAACATGATAAATGTTTCAGACAGTAGCATGCTACTATTGTTGCCACATGACTTTGCGAGGCACTGTATGTTTAATTCAGTAAATGGCATCCATTTTCATCTTGTAAATAAATATGATTTTTGAATGATTTATTGATGATTCTGAATTTTTAATCAGGCATGCTATCTTACTTTAGCATACATACTTACTATTAAGTGTAGCACTTTACATTTACTGCACTATGAACATTATAATTCAAAACAGTGAATAATTCATAGTCATGCTTTGAGACAAAAAAATGCATAAATGCTTGTGTTTCTCTTGGCAGTGATCGTTTGGTCTTAAAATGATCCACAATGGCATGATTTAAGGAATAGTTCACCTAAATACAAAAATATACTGAAATGCTACTCACCCTCAGGTCATCCAAGATGTAGATGAGTTTGTTTCCTGATCAGAACAAATTTGGAGAAATTGAATATTACGTCACTTGCTCACCAATGGATCCTCTGCAGTGAATGGGTGCCGTCAGAATGAGAGTCCAAACAGGTGATAAAAACATCACAATAATCCACATTACTCCAGTCCACCAATCATCATCTTGTGACGTGAAAAACTGCATGTTGATATTTTTGCACTATATGAACATGTGAATTTTCTTTATGCAGGTTATCTATGTTTCCCAAAATGTGCAGTATACACTGCACTAATACAATGCTTTCAACTTGACCTTCCATTCCCAGTATGACAAATGAACCAAAAATTATATCAGCTGCAATACCTGACATTTATTTTTTAGACTTCTTATTAAATGACTCTACCAAAGACACATTGACACAAAATTTTTATTTAAAATGCTAATTAACAATTTTGTACCTGAGATGATAACTCGACCACTTGAAAAAAAATTGCAAACATTAGGTCAAGTGACAATAATGTAAGATACTATAGTGTTTGAAATCTTAAAGGAACACTACACAATTTTTGAAAATAGGCTCATTTTCCAACTCCCTTAGAGTTAAACAGTTGAGTTTTACCGTTTTTAAAGCCATTCAGCCGATCGCCGGGTCTGGCGGTAGCACTTTTAGCTGTAGCTTAGCATAGATCATTGAATCTGATTAGACCGTTAGCATCTCAGTCAAAAATGACCAAAGAGTTTCTATATTTTTCTTATTTAAAACTTGACTCTTCTGTAGTAACATCGTGTACTCAGACTGACAGAAAATGAAAAGTTGTGATTTTCTAGGCCGATATGGCTAGGAACTATAATCTCATTCCGGCTTAATAATCAAGGAACTTTGCTGCCGTACCATGGGTGCAGCAGGCGCAGTGATATTACACAGTGCCTGAAAATAGGCTAACTTCCGTCAACATAACCAACGTGACCACCTGCTTGCACAGGGAGCGTGCTGGGGACTATTTTCAGGTGCATAGAAACTCTTTGGTCATTTTTGAGCGAGATGCTAACGGTCTAATCAGATTCAATGATCTATGCTAAGCTACAGCTAAAAGTGCTCCCGCCAGACCCGGAGATCAGCTGAAAGGATTCGAAAATGGTAAAACTCAACTGTTTAACTCTAGGGGAGTTGGAAAATGAACCTATTTTCAAAAATAGTGGAGTGTTCCTTTAATCGTTGATTATGTTCAATTTCACTCTATTTTATCAAATATTATTCAGTATTCCTCATATACCACACAGTATACAGCAAGCAGTAAAAATGCACACTGTGCACTATATGCTTAAATAATATGGTAGTATGTCATTCCAATGTTTTTTAAAAATATGTTATAGTAACATATTTTTGTTCTTGCCTCACTGGGAAAGCATTTGTTGGCCATAATGTGCATGCACAGTACAGTATTTTACAGTACTACTGCCATCCAAGCAGTGTGGTGGTGTCTATGAATGAACAATTACAAAACACCTCTTTGACCTTTAACATTGATAAAACAGAATAACAACCTGAGACCGATAAAATGACTGACTTTTGAATCTCACCACGTTCTTCCTCCCAGACATGCAATTATAGTAGGCGTCCTAACACTTCCCGCTTCCATTCAACTCAGCCTTTCTTCCTTTATGTTCAGCTAATATGTGTGTGTGTGTGAGTGAGTGTGTATGTGTGTGGCGGCAGCATAAAAGGGTGTTAAGATTGAGCGCTGGTAAACTCAACCACATAGTGACTCACGCTCTGTGAAAATCCAAAGGCATCTGCCATTGTTAGGTTTGCCACACAACCTACACGCCTCAGAATGTGATGAGTCACCCACACAGGGAAAGCATGCTCGCATCTGTTCACGACTACTCTATTCTAGAAACGTACAGACTAAAGTTAGAGTCTGCAGAACATGGATGCACTGAGTATAGCTCTTAACAATGAGAACATGACCTTTCAGTTAATGCAATTTCTCTGAGAAAATGCAAGGTTATATTTTACGCAGGTTTTATGAAAGTAAATTTAACTCTTAAAGATCTTTTTTAGACCAAGGAAAGAAAACTTAATTAATAAATTAAAGGTAACACAATAAAACATAGCAGCACACAAGAAGTTATATTAGCAAAGTTTGAAAATACAGCTTCCAACAGATCTCCAGTGCTTTTTAATTACTTTTACTAAAATAATCAGCTTAAGGTTTGAATAGAACTAGAATATGGAAATAACTTTTACTGTACCCTCTGATCACACAAGTTGATGTCCGTCCTCAGTAATTGTGTCGTTTTCCAGTGCAAATGTATAAAAGATTTTTGAATCAAGATAAATTTACTTGAGAAGCAAAATGACAGGATAAGAAGTCTTGTTTTCTGTGAAATGTATCAAAATGAAGTGAGCTTGTGATTAAAACAAGAACAAATATTTGCCAAATGGCTCAGAAAACTCAACTTAATTCAAAAGGAAAACAAGTTTTCATACCCTATCACTTAATTTTGTTCAGTTTCAGACTTAATTCCTAATTTTGCATTTCAAGTAAATGCATCAAAGTAAATGTACAGTGCATGCACCATTTAATGCCATAACGTTATGAATTTAAGACTTTCTGCACCTATTTTAATTTGTGGAAGGGTGTCTATCAAATCACTTTTAAGCCAGTTTTGAAGCAGCACTTAACTAATTCAATAGTGGAATGTAGTTTTGGCATGCAAATGATCAAATGGTCATTCTAGCACCTATACTGTGAACAAAAGAACAGGAACTAAATGTTGTTTCCTCTGAAAGTTGACTTTCAATTACCTCTCCAGTACTCAGATTCAAAGTCTCGTTGAGTGGTATTTCACTCATGTGAAGGTCTACAAGAATCTGAATTCATGAAACAGAGGGGCTGAAGGCGTTAATCTGTATCCCACAGTCTCACTACACCCACTGGGTCCCTCTGCTGTCATATGGCTGCAAAACCACTACTGCCCACCCGTCATCTCAGCACACGCTCTGCTCAATTCAATATGAACACGCTGAATGCTTCTTCAAATAAAACATTATGAACAGACAAAGTAAGTTTGCAGCAAGGCAGATCTTGCATATATATATATATATATATATATAAAATATTTTATTTCCCGTCATAGAAACGTGAACTTTAAAGGTACAGGAAGTCAGAAGAGAAACTGCAGATACTGGTTTCTGCTCCAGGTTGTTGGGAAAAACAAAGCATTTCTATTAACAGACAAATAAGATTATAGAGCGTACATAAATATATTATACAAAAGAAAAACAAGGTACATTTTTCAGAAGGTATTTGTTTGAATAAATGTTCAGTGGAGACCCAAGATATTCAACTCCATGATTAATGTTTGGTTTTGAACTAATGACGTTCTTAACCCGTGCATGATGCAAAAGACTGTTTTTACAAATTCATTCATTTGCAATTCTGAAATCTCAGTGCAGACTAGCTGATGGCTACAACTGTAGAATACATGCAGATTTATGAAAAACTGTCCAAATTAACAACTTATGTCTTTGAAAGTGGAAAGGTCAATGTTCAGGGGTTAAACTCAAGTGTTCTGGGCAACAGTACACATACATAATGATCATTTCCTGCCCTCACTTAGACTTCCTGTTGCGCACTTGCACTATTTCTCTTCTCTCCTTCAGAAAGCTTTTGAAAGCGCCGGCCTCTTTGCTTTCTTCTATGACTGTTGGGAAACAAGTGCCATCGTAAACACAGGGGTTACACGGTGTGTTACACAGCGATTATGTTTCTTTAAGGGCTATTTGAAGTATCCTCACCGGTGTGATCGATATCATCGGTATCGCTGTCTATGTCTTCCTCAGCTTCACCAGAGTTGCCACAGGTAAAGATGAGGTCACTGGGCCCACCAAGAGCTGGGGCATCTGAAGAATAGAATAACCAGATGTTCCAGTGTGTACAAGGGCACATGCATACAGTACTTTTGGAGGCAATGCTAATGAAGGATCTCCATCAAAGACCAGCTGATTGCAGAAAATGATATACATCTGTTCTAAAAAGCAATTCTTGTAAAATATACACTAGGGCTGTCAAAAAAGAATTAGAATTTCGAATATTCGTCGAATTTAAAATAAAAATCCACATTCGAATGCAAAAACGTTGCATTCGAATTTTAGGTGTGCGTTAAGGAGGCAGCCTTATCAGCGGAGCACGAGATGCGACGACGATGTTAGTGTCGTTGCATTTTAATGTTTTTGTTAGCCTATCCAGTTGAAGCCACTAGATGCGGCGCTGCTGCGTTGTTGATTACAAATATTGTGTGGAAAGAGAACATCAATGCGGAATAGATCTTGTTTACGTAAAAACTGAAAACTGAAACTAAGTCGTTCACACAGAACGCATATTTCGCGCATTTTCTAGAGGGACATCTATCACCGTTGCACTCGTGTCTCGCACAAGAGAACCGCATGTTTAGAAAGCCATGTAAAAATTAATGCAAGTTCAACTTTGAAAAAACATATC